CTAGTCCGAAGTCGTCTGTCATAGTAGTTGTCATAATTCCCAGCATCAGACAGTGGACTTGGTACATTCTGGGAATTATGATAACTACTATGGCAGACGACTTCGGACTAGGTGCGCTCTACTAAGTCGCTCTGACAACAAGACCAAGTTGTAACAACGAGGTAAACCCACCTTTATAAATCGAAAGGAGACTGCGATCATACCAGAGGCCACACCAGCTTGGTCTTCATATCTTCAAAAGTAATTCATGTTTAACTTGTAAGTCCAATTTGTTACATTCGACATATTCAATAATCTGTTAAGTTATGTAGCCTATCTTTTTATGCATTTTGCAGTAGGAAGAGCATAATCATTGTTGAGCTTACTTCAATCTCGAGTAAAAGTGTTTGATGAAGACATTTGAAGGTCGATTCCACCAGAAGACGCTGGCAGCTGTAGACTGGCTTTGTTGGAACATTCACGGTGACGCTGTTTCCGAGATAGTCTCCTTCGATTACGGTTAAAAGGTGCTAAGCTTTTGTTCGTCATATGACGAACATCATCAGGGCAAGGTATCTTCGTCACAACCAAATTCAATCTGCCAAAAGCCCTCGCTCTCAAACTCTCTCAAACATAAATATTTTAAAATCCGATTTCCTAATTGCATTGCTTACATTCAACTTAGTGCCTAAGGATGGCAAAAATGGTCTCTCGGTCTAGTTCAGAATGACTTGCCAAAAAAATTGGCCCATTTGTACCCAATGATTTCCGTGGAAGTTAGTTAGTTCACACTTCCCCACAGGTGAGAAGCAGGTCTTCATAATCATGCCGAGCCACTGATATGTAATAAAACTTCTTGACTCGTCACGAAATCATCCCTAATTGTTTCCATCGCATGTTCAGCTGAAGTGTGGCACCCTCGGACACAGCGCATCAGCTCAGTAGCTCAATTTGGCAGAGACATGTCAATTATAGACACTGAGGTTAATCACCATTTTCACATCACTGCTCTGTTTGCCAGTTAATTTGGCTCATATGATCAGCACAGAGTTAATTTGGACGTACTCTGTACGGGAAAAACAATCTGAAAAATTTACACTCGGTAATTAGGAATGCATCGTGTCGGATTTCTCATTGACGCTGAACCAATTAATCCAGAACCTTGGCGTGAAG